TTACTACTAGTAAGGCACTTGTTACTAGAAGCGATGCACTTGTTCCTAGTAGCTTCTTGTTACTACTAGTAAGGCACCTGTTCCTAGTAGCGTGGCACTTGTTCCTAGTAGCTTCTTGTTACTACTAGTAAGGCACTTGTTAGTGTCATCGCCTTCTGTTTTGGAGCAATTCACATGTACCAAAACCCAGGATCTGGCTCGGACTGGTGCGGTCGAGGAGTCCTGACAGAAAGACACACACGCATACGTGTGCTAAAACCGTCTGCGTTGGAGGCTGGAAGTTCGAAGAGAAGCAATCTAAAGTGAAGGCCAAAACAGCAGAAGTGTCAGTAGCATGTTCGGATGCTTGGAAAAACACCTTTCTTTGTTTGCCTTATAAAGAGCGGGGGGGTTGTCAAGGACAGAACAGCACACAACTGAGTAGTAAAAGTCGAAGCAACGTGTAGTTCTGTAGAACAATAGAGTCGAAGTCAAATCAGCACGAACCCTGATTGTAGCGAAAGTAGCATTCTCATTTGTAGTAAGGCGTGGCTAAGACAAAGACGGCACACAGCATGGGTTAGTACAAGAGGTAGAGGAGTGAACAGGGAGGCCCAAACAGCACCAAACAGCATATGTCTGTCGTCATGCTGGTTCTAGTCCAATGTCCCTTGATAGTTCTTGAGAATCAGGCTAATCGATCCAGAGTGGGATTCTTCTTTACTGTGAATTCCCCCTTTGGGGGAATTCACCAGCGGAAATGATTCACGACAATTGAAGGGCAGCCTAGCCATATAGTTCTTTCTGTCTAGACAAAAAGTGCGTCATGGGTGAGAAACACTCACCTGTTCATTGGAACAAACAGAGTACAACGTTCCTGTTTGAAGTACGGCTCGGAGATCAAGGCAGCAGTCAACCCTCGAACTGATCGGCGGGTTGGTACGGGGTTGTCTTACCGTGTCTTTCTTTCACCAAAGAGGTTCCTATTGCTATTGATTTGCCACAATTGAGAAGGCTGCTGATCCTCTTGTGTTTCTCAAGGAAGCGCCTTTTGCTTGACGCTGAAGGAGTCCAAGAGGAAAGTGGACACGAAAAAACTTCCTTCTGATTCCGTTTGATCTCCGTTAAACTTATTGCCCGGACTTTCCCAACATGCCAGCATGTTTAGTGGCGCTACTAGGGGCTCCTGGCATCGCTACTAGGAGCAAGAACGCTACTAGGGGCTCCTGGCCGTACTACTAGGAGCAAGTAGCTACTAGTAACAAGAGGACGCTACTAGGGGCTTCTGAAGTTCTTTTCCATATTTGTTCTTCCATCTTCTTCCCATATTTGCCTGAGAAGGTATTCTACTGATGGATCCCACATTCGAGGCATAAGTCGTTGCTTTAAGAAACAAGCGTTCTTCCCTTTTACTTTCTTGTTTTCATGTTCAAGCATTTTATTCTATTCTTGTGAAATATATATGTTCTACTTTATGTTCTTACTTTCGTTCTTTTCTTTCTTTCCTGTTTTTACTTTTTCGGCACAACTTCTTCCCGACCTTGGAGAAGCCATCACGCCATCTGCCCAAGCATTCACCACAGGTCCTTGACAGCGGACAACGGCCAACCCTTCCAAGCGAACAGAGTCAACCTTTGCTTTGTTTCCTTCTAGGGATTTCCTCCAACCTACTAGCGATGCCCTCCAACCTACCCTTTGAGAAATGCGAGGTCGAACCCAGTCTCTCTCAAATCTGCAGCACTTCTGACAGACTAAGCTACCATTAAGCTACGATCAAAGAGGTGTTACGGACTCGCCAATGATAAGACCTCCAAAGCCAACCCAAATTCACCCGCGAGTCATACCCGTTCCTCGATGAGTCATAGCTCCTGATGGGCGAGCCTGCCTGAGTTGTCGGGACCGTTTCGGTACAGCCGCGATGGGCGAAACACCCGGAAGTGCGGTGATGCCGGCGATCCCATGTGGTGTCCCGGTTCTCGGTTCGATGTGGCGCTTGGATTTGATCATGGAATGTCTTTTCTGCTCCGCCGCTCCCTTTTCTTCTTCTCTTTTCCTTGTCAGACCTTTGGAATCCTTTGGACCTTTCTTCCTTAAAAGAGCTACTAGGGGCAAAGACGCTACTAGGGGCTCCTGGCCTTACTACTAGGAGCAAGGACGCTAATAGGAGCAAAGGGCATCGTTACTGCTTTATATAGGAAGTATTGGGTCCTTATCCTTTTGGACCTGCTTCAGATTCACATGTCGTGACGGTTTCTGGTGGGTGGGCCTGGTATGCTTTCGTCGGCTCCTTTCTAGCGAAGCGGCAGTGTTCGAGGTGGACAAAGAACGGCAGAAAACACGAAAACACCAATCTGGTCTAAAGAAAAAATTGACAACAGATTGGTCTCAAGGTCGACGACCTCTCATAAATCGACCCGTAGTGCTTCTTGTTACTAGCAGCGATGGCCTCCAACCTACTTACGATGGCCTCCACCCTAGTAGCGTCCGAGCGCTACTCGTAAATTGACACGTAGTGATTTCAAGTTTTGGAAGCTCACAGGCTGCTTTGGTCCTCTTTGAACATCCGATGAAAACACACTCAAACAACAATTGGACGAGAGCTCTTGAAGCACTCGTTGACAATGTCTACTGCAGCACCCTTTGCTGGAAACAAGAATGCTTATGACAGGAGGTCTTTGACCTCGCTACAAACAAAAACCCTTTTCTACCCCGAAAACTTGGATGTCACGAAGCACCTGTTAGACGCAAGTCAAGAAAGCAATTTAGCTGTAGACGGCACCGCTTTCTAGCCTAGTGATCCTAGTGGCAGTGGCACTAGTAATAGCAATGGCCTCCAACCTAGTCGCAAGTGGCCTCCAACCTGCAGAAAACGCTCTGGCGACATGTCGAGACCGGATTTCACCAACGAAGCCGACCTGGTCCTGTCAAGACTGGTGGATCGCGGCGGAGAAGTCTCGACACCTGGAGCAAAGCCGTCTCGCCAGTCTTCTCATCTCCATTTCGTCGCTGAAAAAAAGGTGCGGCGAATTCTGAAACAAACGGATCTCACAATCTTACTACTCTACTACCCAGTTTTTTTTGCTCCGTTTGAATTTAGCTGTTCTTAAAATAACGTCCTGATTTTAGAGACAGATTCTTCTTGGGTGTTGAGAAGTTGATTCATCAAAACCCAAGAAGTTGCTTCCATCTGGAAAACTGCTTCAAAATTCGGACGTCCACGGGAAACCGCATTGTTCGGTGCTTTGCAACATGCTTCGCACGCGTTATCAACGGACGTTGTCTTTACGGGCCTGAAGTGGGAGCTTGGACGTCAGCCATGACGGACGTGAAACGAAGTGAAACGAGGATCTGTCGAAAAGTCTGTCGAAGATCTGATGATCTGCTCTGTTTCTTTCAGGATCAAGGCTTTCTTTCGGCTAGGAGGTTGGAGGCCATCGCTACTAGGATGGAGGCCATTGCTAGTACTTTCATTGGCAAGGCATTCTTTCGGCGCATCATTTTTCAGCTGAAATTGGGCTCTTTGGCTTTGCGATGTGCAAAAGTGTTGGGATATGATGTGTTAGGTTGCTGGCAACAAAAGAGCCATGAATGCTTTTTCTAAGAGGAGAAGGTTTATAAAGCACAGCAAAGCTAGTTGGTACAACTCACATTCTTCGAAGAGTTCTCTTGTTTGAGATGCCTTGCTAGAGTTCTGGTGTGGATGTTCGAGCTTGAGACAGAGTGCAAATACAAATACGCCATGGCCATGCCGTTGTACATGATGTTTCCACCAGAACCTACGCCCCACCGAACGTGCAATTGGACAAATGGATGTTGAGAGCAGCTTTGCGTGGAACCTTCAGGTGAACCATGCCCAACTCCAGTACAAACGATTCGAATGTATCAAAACTGCACAGACTTGAATAACCCCTTCAAAAAGCTTATCCTTTGTGATGGCAACATGTGGGTATGACAATTGATACGGCACGGTTCCTTCTGATGGACCAAGGCTAAGGAGCACGTTTTCCGACGCGTCCTACCGCGTGACTTCGCAAGCGCCGGCCCCCTTGTCGTCCACGTAGACCTGGAACCCCACCTGAAGGATAGGTCTAAAGGCCGAAGCAGTCCAACAAAGCAAGGAAAAAGCAACAAGAACAAGGGAAAGGCTACGAACGGAGCAAGAACGCTACGTTCGGGGCTCCTGGCCTTACTACTAGTAACAAGGTTCGCTACTAGTAACAAGTGCATCGCTACTAGTAGAAAAGAACAAAAGAACATGGAAGAACCAGAACTTATCTCGAATTTTCCTTGCTTGGATGTCTCAGATTTTGGATGCGATTTCCTCACATTGGCTAGTGAGAGCGTGCTTTCTTTCTTCGACCTTTGACCATAACCTCTTTCCAACCGAGCCTCAAAAACGACCCCTTTCTTGCAAGAACGGCTCCAAAAAGAAACGGTGAGTGTTCAAAGGCCTTTCGGGGAAGTACAGCTTCTTCAGAACCCTTTGCACGGTAGAAAAGGGTCCGTTTTCAAGACCCTTTTAGATAATGAACACCTGAAAAGACCAACTTTAGACCAAAATTGTTTTCCTTTCTTCATTCATTTTTAGAATTGTTTTTAGGAGCAAGGACCTTGACAAGAGATATTGAAGGCTAAGAATATCATGCTGGCCGCGCCTGCGTGCCCTGGATGGGGTTCAGGTCTGGTGACACATCTGCCTTGCGGAAGTACAGAAGGCTGTCCTGCTGTAAGTCGAAACCGGCAACATGTGCAGAAAGCTCCAACAAATGAAAGTTGTCCTGCTCTAGCGTGCTCAACAAACGGCTTGACAAATCACAACTTGACATATCAGATTTGTTACTAGTAGCTTCGTGTTACTAGTAGCGATGGCCTCCAACCTACTTGCGATGGCCTCCACCTAATAGCATCCGGATGCTACTAGTAGCATCAGAAACATATAGACCATCGGTGTCCTCAGCAATGCGCTTGCCTCGCCGTCGAGCAGCTTCAGCTTGCTCGGCTAATCGAGCCATCACCTCAGTGGCATGTGGAGTTGAACTTTGAGCGTAATGGACATCAAAAAGAACGAGAATCATCAGAAATCATCGGAAATCTACCGAGCAAAGAAGGGCCAGTTGAGTCGAAGACCATTAAGAGTCGCAAAGTGTTAGACAAATCGTTTTTTCAATGCTGCTCTTTGCATTTGATCTTCGTGTCAGAAAGAGCGAAGGAACCCTTGCATTTTCTCTCGGCAGGACATGAACAACAGGCACCTTCTCGGGCAAAATGGTGGATGGATCTGGCCGAATGAAGCCATATCCTTGCCTATCGAGGTTATCCAGAAGAAGATTAAGCTATAGATTTGCATGACATTCTCATCATGTCATCCTTCAACGCTTGATCTTCAGATCGTTCGTCGGCCAGTTTTATGTGGTCGTGTCGTCTAATTCCGTTTGATCCCAATCCCCGTCGTCTGTGCCTCCAATTCCAAAATGCCACTGCACCTCTGTAGGTCCCAATGCCCATGGATATTCGATTCTCCAAAGCATCCTGCAGAAAGCGATCACCGACACACCCTAGAAGGCGATGGCCTCCAACCTAGCAAAGCATCCTGCAGAAAAGCTTAAAAAGGAACTGCTCTATGCATGGTCTACAGCTCTATGGAAGCTAAATCAAGATTCCTTAGTCAGCTGCTTTATGCTTTCAAAACTGACCGATAGGGGACATAGGGGACATTCCGATCGTGGATCCGTGGTTTCGCGGACGGATGACGGGGGCGTGGTAATCGGGTCGTCGTCGGATCGTCGAAGTCTGGAGTCGTCGTGACGATGTCGTTCTGATCCTCGTCTGCTTCTATCGTTCTATCGTCTAGACGTCTATAGGCCTATAGGTTATTTCATAGGCTTATTCTTCTATAGGCCTATAGGTTTTGAGCTTCTTCTATAGGCTTTTTTTATTCGTGATGACTCCCCTTGTGCCATGGCAAGTCACTCTGAACATACATGAAAGGACCGAAAGAAAATCCAGTGCCATGCAGTGTGCTGTGCAGTGCGCAACGGCCTGTGTGAGAGGATGTCCACCTTGCAAAGTCATGTTGTAGACCTTGTACTGACCCCTCTCATTCCTGCAAAGAAAGAGATCCTTGCTCTTCCCTTGCTTTGCAGGCAGAACCGATGAAAAACAGGCAGTTCTGCAACCAAAGCTTGAAACCGACATCCTGGAAAACCTAAAGTAAAACAGAAGCAACATGCCTTTGTTGCAAAAGACAGCACGTCCGGATCCTGTAGATGCCGAACTCCACAGCGATGTTTCGCATGTGCACAGGTTGTTGCCCTGCTGCATTGACCTGGACACGGCTCGAACCGCGTGTGCGTTTAAGACCAGGAGACTCCTGGTCTTCTGACACGGTTCACACGGCTCGAACGGTCCATGAAGCTACTGGAAGCCAGTAGAAACAAGTGCATCGCTTCTAGTAACAAGTGCCTTACTAGTAGTAACAAGAAGCTAGTAGTAACAAGAAGCTTCTTGTTACTCACACTGCTTTTGATGTTCCCCAAAAGCCTTCTTCGCAGAAAAGGAACAAACACCGAAAACCGCTGCACGACAGTTCTAGTCGTCGGAGGGGCCGCAAACATCTTCAAAGTATGACAACAAAGAACCTTACGAACAGGATGCATGGGAGGATTCACAACTTGAAGATTTTTTTTGCGATTGAAAGCAACCTGTTGGCTTTTGTGCTGTGCTGTCACAGGGATCGGCCTGTTTGGGAGCGCAAAAGCTTGCTCTGCGATGTTTTGTTTGGTTTTGGGATGAGGGCGCTGTGCCACAGCTGCATCTGGTTGACGCTACGTTTCCATGTCTTCCCTTGTGTCAGGCTTGGGTGGCACATAAGCGCTCAAGTGATGGCGCCTTCAGCTTCGGATTGCAGGGCCCAAAGCATGGCCTCCAACCTACTAGCGATGGCCACCAACCAAAGAGCGATGGCCTCCAACCTAGAAGCAATGGTCTCCAACCTACTAGCGATGGCCTCCAACCTAATAGCCATGGCGTTCCTAGCACTATGTAATCCAAGGCATGTTTGTCAAACATTTGGAACGTGTCCTTGTTTGCGTACGGCTTTGGGGTGGCTCTGGGCTCATGATTTGTGCACATTCATCAACAAAAATATCCCCCCAGCTTTGTGTCCGGCATGTAGTGTGTGCTTGTGGTATGGTGACAGGCTAAACCAAGGCTGAATCTGGGAAACCTTCTGCACTATGCTTAACTGGGGAAGAATGCCAAACCAAGGCAGGCGGAGGGCTTTGCACTCACAGCATCACGCAGAAGCATCATATGAAGGCCTGCTGACACATCCCTGTAAAATGTTGAGCTGGCACCAAGCTACTGGACCTTTAATGTTCGCGAGCATGCAAAATGGCAGGGCAGGCTACGTGAAAAAGTGCTTGCATATTGCTCGCCACTCCCCTGAAGGCCAAGACTAGATAATGTGCCGTACAGCCTTTGAGAGAACAAACTGGCCCTCCAGAACTTTCAAGGCTCGCAATGATGAACGAATGTTCACAGGTGGACTTGGTGAAAATTCCAAGGACCATTGTTCACTTCCATTCCATGTGTATACTTGGCATTTGTTTTGGTTCCTTGTTCCTAATTGCTTCTTGTTACTACTAGCGTGGCACTTGTTACTGATGTTTCTTCTGGTCGAAGGCGGATTCTCAAATGCCTCACCGTGTGGAGTCAGGCCTTTCGCCTCCCGAGACGAGAGAGCGAGCAGAAAACGAGTTCGGCGCTGGCAGAAGCTACGTTCGTGACACGTTCGTGGCTAAGTGCATTACTAGTAGCGTCCTTGTTCCTAGTAAGGCCAGGAGCTACGTTTGTAGCGTCCTTGTTCCTAGTAGCGATGCCCTTTGTTCCTAGTAGCTTCTTGTTACTACTAGCTTCTTGTTCCTAGTAAGGCACCTTGCTACTAGTAGCTTCTAGCTGGCTTCCAGGGATGGCGCAGGAGCAGGCTTGCGTGCCATCTGGAGGTTCCCTTTAACCAGATTCCTGAAATGCCATCCGTATGGGCCTGATCTTGTGGCAGATTGAAGACGCAAAGGCTACCCAGCTTCTTGGTCATTAGGACATTGCGCCAGATCCATCACACAGTTTTGGACGTACAAGATGAACTGAATCGGAACAATTTCCTTGTGGTTTTTGCTAAGTGTCACGGTGCATGTGGTCAATTTTCCTGAACCAGCGTGAAAGTTCAAAAGAACATGAATGAACACTTAAACTAACCACATCACAATATCCTTTTAGCCTCTTATGATCTTGTCTTTTAACTTCTCGCCGGCTGAAGACTCCATCTGAGAGCGACCTGATTGGACCTGTTAAGACAGGTCTGAGGGTCTGAAGAAAGGTGGAACATCCCTATAAAGGCCTAACAAGTCCTCTTGCTACTAGGAACAAGTGCATCGCTTCTAGTAACAAGTGCCTTACTAGTAGTAACAAGAAGCTACTAGGAACAAGTGCCACGCTACTAGGAACAGGTGCCTTACTAGTAGTAACAATGTTTGCTATTAGAAACAAGTGCCACGCTACTAGGAACAGGTGCCTTACTAGTAGTAACAATGTTTGCTATTAGAAACAAGTGCCACGCTACTAGGAACAGGTGCCCTACTAGTAGTAACAAAAACTCAACAAGGCTCTACCAGTGTTACCTACAGCCTTGGGATTACTGGAACAAGACAGCCGTCGGTCTCGACGGTGAGACCCCATGCCTCTTCATGGTCCACTCGCAGTTCACCAGGGACGCTTGGATCCACATCATAGCCTGCAAAACCAAACCAAAGACTGGAAGGATCTGCAAACCACTTGGTCCGTCCAGCACTTAGATTTGCAGAGGTATGTAGGGTGCTTTTGGTACAGGACATGCAAATGATGCAAGTGTTGCTAAAAGCATCAAAAGCATCGCAAGCTTGTTGGAACAATAGTTTACGCATTCAAAGTTGTGTTGCGGTTAAGAGTGGCCTTGTTCAGCCTGTTGGGCAAGCTTGGACGGCACGTAGCAAATGTGGTGATCTTTGAGGGTTCTGAAATTGAAAAAACCTTGCTACTAGTAGCTTCTTGTTACTAGTAGTAAGGCCAGGAGCCCCTAGTAGCGTCCTTGCTCCTAGTAGCGATGCCCTTGTTCCTAGTAGCGATGCCCTTGCTACTAGTAGCTTCTTGTTACTAGTAGTAATGGTCTCCAACCTACTAACGAGCGATGGCCTCCAACCTACTAGCGATGGCTTCCACCTAGTAGCTTCTAGTTTGATGCACAATAGCTTTTCCCAGGATGAGATTGACGACTGCACAATGCACGTAATGCATTCCACATAAACCCTGCAGTGTGGGTGGCACCACGCTGCGAAGTGGGAGGAATATCACGCTTGTTGCAAGTAGTAGGAGAGCAAAGGGTAGTGAAGTCCTAGATACTGTATGTCAGTGAGGAGTGAACATGCAAAAAACTTTTTTGTTGATTTGCGTTGCCCCCTTTCTTGTGTGGAAACATGCCAATAGGAACCTACTCACGTACTCTTAAGCTCTTGCCTTGATCCATGATGACGTACCCAAAGCCGTGCCTTTCAAAGTTGTCACAACTTAGTAACTCAGAAACTGTCCAAAGAAGTTGCAAGTGCATCGCTACTAGCAACAAGTGCCTTGCTACTAGTAACAAGTGCATTGCTACTAGTAGCAAGAAGCTACTAGTAGCTAAGTGCTCGGAATTGTCGACAGAAAGGCTCTCTTGGCCTTGGCGAGTAGAACTTCAAGGTGCCAGTGTATCTCAAGTGCTGACCACCAACGAAGAGTTTCTCGTTGGCATCAAGCTCATCTTGCAGGGCAACATTCAAGCCACCCACCTGGACAGATTCACCAGCGGATTGCCAAGAAAACGGTCAAGTGAGTCAAGTGACACGATTCCCAGTGAAACCATTCCCAAGGAAGCTTCTAGTTACTAGTAGCGATAGCCTCCAATCTACTAGCGATGGCCTCCACCTAGCAGCGTCCGGAAGCAACTAGTAGCTTCTTAGACTTTCATTCTTGGCACGGCACAAGGGTCACATTCTTGGCGCGCAAAGTATTCAAACCTCTTTGCCAATCCTTCCAGGTCATCAAGCTAAACTCCACCTGGACGCTTCAGTTTACGCTTCAGTTCACGAGCTCGACCGACGCCTATTGTTGACTGCCGAATTGTTGCCTTTCCCTGAAAATACAACAATCTCCACTCCAATGATTGAGCAACTCGACATTTTTCCGCTCCAGGATGCATTGACATGTGAGATGGATAGAAAGGGGCTGTGGCAGGATCTTAGATAGCTGGAGCCAGGAGTGGTTTACTTAAAAACACCCCAAAACCAAACAAGTTCACCCAAGGCATCACTATTAGGTTGGAGGCCATCGCTAGTAGGTTGGAGGCCATTGCTATTAGGGTTGAATATGCTTCCCTCTCTCCCGTTGAGCAAGAGGCTCTGTTTCGCTCTACAAACGGCTCTACCCATCTCGGGATGCCGCCTCCAAGCCCTTGACCAGAAATGGAAAGCGATCATCGCTCGAGATCTGCTTCCAATGAACAAAGACCTTCCAATGAACAGCAGCGATATGATTTGTCTTATTTCTCTTCTTCGCCGAAGCAGAATGCCTTTGGACACTGATTTTGAGTGCCAGTATTTCGAAGCAAGATCCCAAAGAGGATCTTTGACGGTTTTATGACTTCTGTGCGACTGCGACTGGGTGCCTTCTCGGTGGGGATGTCGGCCTCGGTCGCCTCGATAAACCTGGACTCGGTCGGCAGGTTTTCGGTCTGAAGCGGATAGTCCAGCAACATGTCCAAATGAGCTGCTCTGAACATCTGCAGTAACTCCTGTATGGTTCAGCCGAACGGAGCAAGGGGGGGTTGGAACGAAGTGGGTCAACCTCAAGGAGCTTAGCTCCTCTTTCGGAAGCGACTTTGATCTGTAACCTGGGTCGTGAAGGATTTGTTTAGAGAAAGGTTGGAGGCCATCGCTATTAGGTTGGAGGCCATCGCTAGGATATTAGGAGGAGCTAGAATGTCCAACTCATTTCTGGTTGGGCTGGGCACTAATATGGTTTTCAGCCTTCAGATCCTTCCAAGACGGGAGGCCCATAACCCCGGTACTTGTGGTAGAAGATCACCGTGCCAAAGTACCGCTCGTTCACATCTACCTCCCGTGGCAAGAGGTCGATCGGAAGTGCGAACAGAGTGCGATCGAACGGAGCCCGAAATCAAGAAAGGGAGGCAGCGAATAGTAGCGTCCGTGTTCCTAGTAGCGTCCGATCGCTCCTAGTTGTAAGGCCAGGAGCCCCGAACGTAGCGTCCTCGTTCCTAGCAGCGATGCCAGGAGCCCCGTTCGTAGCTTCCTTTGATTTGCTTTTTGAAGTGGCCAAAGCTGTGCCCAGACCTGGTAATTTGCGGGCACGCTCTGTGGAGGTCTTCTTGCTCGCCAAGCATTTCCTCCTCCAGCGCTGTTGTAGCCCAGAAGTGGGAAGTTTGCAGATCGATAGGGCAAATTCTGCTTCAGCCATGGCTTCTGAACGTGCCAAACTACCATCTTTGGGCGAAAGCGCCACTCGTCATCTCTGCAAAGCCAGCATAGCTGAAAGCAAACAGGGCGAAGCACTGCAGAGTGGGTCACTAATCGAAGGCATGATCCTGATTCGATTCATTCGAAGGGAAGCCCCTTCCAAGATTGAGTGAAGGACAACTCCGGAAAACAATTGCATTTCAATTGTGCTTCAAACCAAAAACCATTAAAAATTAAAACCATCTAAAACATCAACAAGACTCCAACCAAACAGCGAACAAACCATCCGACCTCCTTTCTGTGTTGTGCAGCTCGGTTGGCTCCCGTGTTGGAAGCCACACCGTTTTCGGTGGTCACGTGGATGGTCACTCCGCGTGTCTCAGCTGCGCGTCACTCTGCGACCCACCAAGTGCATGGGATCGGCGCCTTCCGGAACATCCTGAATCTCGAACAAAAGCACTACTCCTTTCTTGTTACTACTAGTAAGGCACCTGTTCCTAGTAGCGTGGCACTTGTTTCTAATAGCAAACATTGTTACTACTAGTAAGGCACTTGTTACTAGAAGCGATGCACTTGCTCCTAGTAGCTTCTTGTTCCTAGTAGCGAGGCCAGGAGCCCCTAGTAGCGTCCTTTGCTCCTAGTAGCATCCTTTGAACTGTCAATATCCATATCCATCACCATCAAGCGAGCGTGTGACTTTTGTTAAAAAATGCAACACCTTATGAGGCAAAAGAGAAATCCGGAAAGCGGCCCTTGCACACCTTCATGCCTCGTTCCGTCCCTCAAGAGCTATTTAAGGTCCCTTCACGTAGTGCTGAGGCCGTAGCTCCGAGCACCAAATCACACACCTCAAACCACTCGACTCCACTCGACTGAAGGTCCGCTCGACTCCACTCAGATGCGCACGGCATGCAAGAGTCGTCCACGTTCCATCTGTTCCATGCTTTCAAAACGCAAGAACTTCAAGCCCCAACCTAGGCGTTCAGTCCCAACGTGAAGAAATTGATGCCAGTGATGCGAATTTAAACACCTGAACATGGGCAGTCTTGGACTTCATGGCCTTTGACCTTTCGACTCGGGAGTGCTTCTTCACAACAAAATGACTGGAGGGCCTGGGAATTGCAATACATCCTCAGCTTGTCAAATGCATTTTATGCTTCGAGAACTAGAAGCCTCAAGCCTCAGCTAAGAAGTAGAAATCCAAACGCTTCAACTACCCCTCCTGGTTCCAATGGGAATCCAATGCGAACATCTGTGGTCCATCTGAGCGTTGTGCGAGAAGCCACCTCTCGCAACGGATCTAGGCGTCTTCTTTCCTGCAAGGCTGCAGCGGCATCTCCTTTATTCAGGTAGCTAAGGATGCCAAGGGCATTACTAGTAACAAGATCCTACTAGGAACAAAGGGCATCGTTACTAGTAACAAGAAGCTACTAGTAGCTCCTGGCATCGCTACTAGGAGCAAGCTTGCACGGGTGTTTTACTTCTGTGGTCAAGAAGCCTGAGATGCTGGTAGGTTGGAGGCCATTACTACTAGTAGCTAGAAGCTAGTAGGTTGGAGGCCGTCGCTATAGGACGCTAATGAGTTGGAGGCCATGCTGGTCTTGCGCTTTTAAATTCCCCTTCAATCCAGACGGAGCAGGTTCCTCACCAGAGGCAGCACTGAGTGCAGGAAGAGACCCCTGTACCACCAGCAAGCCACATGGCCTCACCAACTGGAGATTGGTCAACAAACCCCTCTTGAAGAAAGTGTTCTATGATGGGCAGCAGGGGGTAGTGACGGGTAGAAAAATAGAACACATTCTTGCTTGCTTGTTTGAAGAAAACACTCTTGTTTCGAGTAGGGGGGAGTATCTGAGTTTTTGAATCCATTGACGAGTAAAGTGGTAAATCTTGAAGAAAAGCATCTTGCCCAAAGAAACTCTGTCAGCCCTTCCCCATCACCTGTGCATAGTGGGGTAGATGGACCAAACTTTCAAGCCCTCCAACCCCACACCAGTACTGTTCCCCAAGCTACTTGCGACGGCCTCCACCCTACTAGCGATGGCCTCCACCCTATTAGCGATGGCCTCCAAACTTTCAAGCCCTCAATCAATTTGTGTGCTTTTGGGGTTGAAGTGTTTCATCCACTCAAACCCTGGCCTCTGATTGATGTGCATGCTGAGTGGTGCAACGTGCAAACCTCCAGAGTCTAAAGCTATTCGTTGGTTTCGTGGGTTTCGTTCTGAAAACCATTAGCTTCTTGTTCCTAGTAGCTTCTTTGCTCCTAGTAGCGATGCCAGTGAGCCCCTAGTAGCGTCCTTGCTCCTAGTTGCTTCGCTTTCTCCCAGCTTTTCAACTTGCAATTCAGGTGCGGAGGTGCTCCCAGAGCAGCAAGGCGGTTGCACAGATCCTGAGAACGTCGCTACGGCCAGACATGCGAACGGGATGGATCTTCGGTTTGAGGCCAGCTACGAACGGAGCAAGGAGCTACGAACGTAGCTTCTTGTTACTACAGGTGAACCGATTCCCAAAGAAGCTTCTAGCTCCTAGTAGCTTCTTGTTACTAGTAAGGCCAGGAGCTACTCATAGCGTCCGATCGCTCCTTTCGATGCCGCGATGCCCGTCTTGCTCCGTTCGTTTTCGTCCTCACCATACCACACTTGCACACACGTTCGGCAGTATCTTGAGCGGGAGGCTGTGTGGCCATGAGGATCCAAGATGTTCACCACCAAGGCGACGCAAGCGGCTGATCCACCTGAGCGGCAGCGACAGCAGACTGGTCCAAAGATGAAAAACACACCATAGAGAGACCACCAGCATCGAAACCAAATAGCCCAGCCATCGATTCCCGCAATCAAAGACATGAGGCATTTGAAGCCATTTCGCCGGATCACAACCGGACCTGTCACAATGGTTGACCAAATGGCATCAAGGGCGTTGCCCTCTGGCACTTTGAATTCTGTAAAATCTTCGTCTGCAGCCTGCTCGACTAGCTGGAAGCGTGAGCAAATTTCCGCTACAGGCAGGATTCTCCCCAGATTCAGGTTCATCTTACCTCCTTGTGGCCTCAAACAATAAAAACGCTTGACGGACCATGGAGCGACGATTTCAGGCAGCCTTCGCCTTTCGTCATCAATCTTTGTCCTATTGCTTTCAATAGCCATAGTGAGCAAGAGCCAATCTGTGTTCATGTCCTTTTTGATCGCCTTGCTGCGCACGCTGGCGCTCATCCTGCAATCCCAAGTAGCGCCACACAATCTGCGAACCACAGTAGAGCCGCTGACCTTACACTTGGACGCTAGTCATATGGCTAGGTGCACCACCTTAGCATGAAGGCATGCACATGTCACCAGGACGGCATAGGGACGTGACAGTATGACCATTTGCAGGTGTTTTTTCGTCTTCACGCAGAGTCAATGGCAAGCGCCGCACTGTGAAGGCACGCTTGGAGGCCATCGCTATAGCAAATGACCCCGACACGAACGCCAGCATGTTGGTCCACAGAACGCGCTGTGCCCTAATCCGCCAAAGGCACTTGCCATGCAGCCATTGACATACTGCTGAACAGCCATGAGACGACAGCTAGAACAAAAGCAAACTCTTGTTCAGATGGTTGAAGGATGCTTGAGGTGTGGTGCCACAGCCTTATAAATGCACATGCCTCTTCAATATTCTTCAATAGCCTCAGGGATGCAGAACCGATGTCAAGGAACCTGAAAACACTACAAGCCACCACTGCCACCACTTTAGAAGCCCACCTAGAAACCGTTGGCACTGTCCTTGGCACTAGGTTACTTCCAGCTTGTGTAAAGCATCATGGCACCTCTACTGGCACCTCTATACACTAAACACCACACTAAACCACTCGCAAAACCAAAATCAAAGGCTGTCCACTACTCAGTCCACTACCTTTCCCCCTGTCAGCTGGGTGGGGCAGCAAGACTTAGCAAGCAGTTCACACACCACATGGACCATTCCGCTTTCGGAAAGCTGTTGCAATCATGACCGGATGACTCTCTCGTCGCCTGCACTGTCCGGCTCCGAACACCACTGGGAGACTTTCACAACACGACCGGAACATCCACGATCAGGGCGCTCTCGGACTTGACTTCTTGAGATCCAAGAGTTGGTCCAAGACACTAGGAGCAAGAGGACGCTACGAACGGAACAAAGGGCATCGCGGCATCGAACGGAGCGATCGGACGCTACTAGGGGCTCCTGGCCTGACTACTAGGAACAAGAATGCTACTAGGAACAAAGGGCATCGATACTAGGAGCAAGGACACTACGTACTAGGGGCTCCTGGCCTGACTACTAGGAGCATTCTTGCTACTAGTAACAAGTCTATTGAAGGAAATGAACGGATGAGAAAGAGAACAAAACGTATAATATTCCCCCCGAACTCTAGAAACCAAATCAATACTGCGAAGCGCAAGAGGCCAAGACCTAAGATCCATGAAGATGCTCTTCTAAACTGTCCGTTCCCTTCTTTGCTTGTAGAACTTGCTTTTCTTTTGTTTATTCTTTTTACATTTTTGTGGTGTGACTTTCTGTATTTCTCTTGATTGTTTCCTTTGTTTTTACTCCTTGAACCCTTGTCTCTAATTGTTCTTTAGGCCTTCAGGCCTGACTCTTTTTCTTTCTCTTATTGCCTTGCTCCTTGTCCCTCTCTTCCTAAATGGGATCAAGAGGAGCAAAACTTACAAAAATACAATTTGATATGGTCTTCTTGCACACTGAGACTGTGGCCAAAATGTGGCAGAAGCGACACATATCTGTCCTGAGAAACATGCACCAAGAAATAGCCCACACTTTCGGCACCAGTCTTTCACTATTATAGACTGATGAGATCACCTCGAGGCTGTTAGCTCTCCGATCTCATTGGCTCTCTTTTGCCCCTTATGATCTTGGGTAAAATAATCGAAATAGCGATGGCCTCCACCGTAATGAATTTTGGATGCTGTTCCAATTCCAAGCACGCTTTTTGTGGTTGGATCTGGAATGCCAAGCACCGTTGCAGTGCACGTCAGCCCGACAAAGCTTCGTCG